CGCCGGACGATACACCGCGTGGTGCGGAATAAAATAACGTCCCGGGGACGTCGCGACGGACATATGACCTAGCGAAATGTATTCCGACATGAATTGGACATATAATGATTGTAATTGAGGGCTTGTAGCCAATTTACGTTCGAGTGCGTCAAAACGTCGCACCGCGAGTTCACGGGACCCGACAAAAGTATCAGCTGACGGCGGCGCACGAAAGGGCAACGGTACCGAAAAACGGCCGCACGGCAAGCGTATAGCCTGTTCGCAAAATAATCTTTCACAGCGCCCCTCATCTGTGAACGTCTCGGGCGCAGCCTCTGGCTCCTCAACCTGCCAAAACCGTTCCATTAACCCTTCAATGGAAACAGTCATAGTGACCGGCACCGATTGATATGGGTGAGCCTCTCGGTCGGACACTGGGCCAATTAAAATCCACCCAAAAACGGAACTAAACGCCGTAGGTAACGCTTTGTCCACCGAGAATTTTCGACCGTCCATTATTGACGCGTATACGTCGCCGCCTAATAATACGTCAATAGGTGAAGTGATATCGAATGACGGGTCGGCGAGCGCGAGATTAGAATACCTCTCTTTTATGCTCGAGTGTAGCGTTGTTCGAGGCAAGTCACTCGTTATGGCGGGCAACACCCACGCATTTATGGCAAGCACAGGTTCGGACGCAAACCGCGGCTGTACGTTACACTCAACGCGACCTTGGACATTTACTACGGGGACTCCGGATAAACCGCTAATTGGGGCTGTCCAACGGGAGCGCTTAAGGCCTAACCGATCGGCACACGCACTCGTAACGGCGCTTATCTGCGACGCACAATCTATCAGTGCGCGCATTGTTTGCCACGACCCGGAACGATCGCGCATATGCACTAACGCGGTACCTAAAATTATAGACGACGCCTGGTGTGGAGGGGGACGCGGCACGGACGCGCATAACGACGCCTCGGCAGCCGGTGGCTCGTCTCGATCATCGCGATCTCTTCCGGACGATATATTTTGATGAAGAAGCGAGTGGTGTTTACGCGTGCAGTTCTGACAACTCGATTTAACATTACACTTGGGAGCCCAGTGCCCGTCACTAAAACAATTAAAGCATAATTTTTTATCGCGCGTCCATCGAGTGCGCTCGTCGAGACCCCAATTTTTGAACCGCGAACACGATGTTAATGCGTGCGTACCCGCACAACATGGACACGTACTATTTGACTTGGACGCGACTAAAAACGTCAAGCGAGGCTTCCCAGCGTAATCTCCCCCCTTTCGGAACTGACCTGTCGACTTTGACGGCGCATTATTAGTACTACTTTTGTGGGATTCGCCCACAACTTCGAGAATGGCCACTCGGGCCCGGAGAAATTCTAATAATTGTCCTATCGACGGGTAGTCGACTGTACTAGTCGCTTCAAATAATTTGCGGGTAGAAACAGGTAGACGTCGAAACGCTATAGAAAATAAAATAAAAGACCCAGAGTCTGGTATTCTTAGCGCGTCTAATAATGAGATGGATTCACTGAACGTGCCTACAAACGTGTTCAAGTCGTTAAGCGACTCTTGTGTCATGGCCGACGATTGCAGTAGCTTGTCGACAAGTGCCGTTGCGACCAAACGCGGTCGATTAAACTTATCGGATAAGGTGTTCATTACTAACTCGTAATTGTCCGCCGACACCGGTATGCCTCGGACAGCGTCGGCTGCGGCACCTTTTAGACAACCTATCAGATAGTACATCTTATCGATGTTCGATAAATTGGATCGCGAATTAACAAGCGCGGAAAATCTGTCGCGGAAATTGGGCCACGATCGGTAATCACCATCGAACGTGGGTAGAGGTATATCAGGTAAGCGAGAGAGTGACTTAACCGGATCCTCGGGCGGTTTATGAACACTTGATATCCCCTCTCGGAGATAAGACAAGTCGACGGCGTCGGTACCTTTCGGGATTAACCGCTGGGCGATATTTTTAGCCGCGTTAATTAGTTGGCGTACCTCCGCTAACAAGTCGGGTGAATAATCGTCGAGCTTATCGGCTGCCGCTAAAAGGTCTAAAACGGAATCGTCATCCGTCCGAAATTGAAACCATAGCGAGTCTAAATCAGCCGCGTTTAACGCAAACTCTGAGGCTAAATCAGGCTCTGATAGTACGCGCAACGCCATAGCGTGTATGGCTCGAATCTGCGCTATAATGGCAGTACGCCTTACTATAGCACGCGCGATCAGGCGCGCCGTACGCTCAATGTCTTGCTCGTCAGTCATTACGAGCGAAGTGTAATTTAATATAACTATAATATATAAATCAAATACAAATAAAAATAA